ACCGGCTACACGCCGTTCTACGTGAACGGGCTGAGTCACCCTCGCGTCCCGCTGACGCCGCCATTCCATGGCTTAGGGCTTGGTGGGGGAGAAATAGCCGAACGACTAGCTGATGTCAGCCCCTCACCGATGACTTCTTGTCTACCAGTCTGAGTGTCCTACGACACAATCGCGATACGATGGCTGAAAGCCAAGACCTGCAGAAACAATATGCAGATGAAAGAAGAGGCAAAGTGGAAAGCTTGAAGGTCGGGGACCTGATTTTATTAGGTTAAAAAAACCTGCCTACAAATGCAGCCTCTGCTATCTTCAGAACAAAGCTTCGTCCACGGTTTATCGGACCGTTCAAGGTTGTGGCCAAACCGAGCCTGGCGTACACGCTGAACCTTCCGAAATGGATGCACACCCACCCGGTGTTTTACGTGGGCATGCTCAAGCCGTACCGGGATTTGGCACAAGTGAACGCGGAAGCGTAGGCGCCGGAGCAGATCCCACGAGTCCGCGGCCACCCAGAAGTTCAACAACAACTGGTTCTGAGCACGTAGTGCAACAACCTCAATTTCTAACGGCGCCAAGGGCTCCACTGCCGCTGGCATCGACGCATTCGCCTGCTCCACGGCTAGTAGTCGGGGACGTCCTGACCAATCCGATCGAAAGCGTCCACGGCGATGGGCAATTTGCCGAAGCGGCGCCTCAAGCTTTCACGAGTTTTCAGAATCAGGATATCTTCGCCACTTCACAAGATTTCGGGTCTGAACATGGTGACGACTTCGTCGTACTCAACGTCCCACGTTATAGTGGATGTCACCGTTCATCGAGAGGAGTCGGTGGCGGGCGGTGAAGAACGGGTCGACTGCTGCTCGGTGACTCGAGCCCTTGAGAAAGAGGTCTGTCGTGAGCAGAGCTCCGCTGAGCGTCATGCATATCGACGTGCAAACACTCTTTCGGATTTGAAGCACGTCGTGCGCCGACTGCCTCGCGTTGAGGACTACCGCGCTCTGTCGGAGCTTTCCGGCAATAGCCAGGGAGGTTGAATGGCCATAAGCTGAGCTCAAGTAGTGGCCCTGAACTCTTGCGGTCGAAAACACAGAGTTCACGAGATCATTAGGGGCTGTTAACCCATACGTCGCAGGGCGACAATCTAAAGGAACTCGACGGCGTACCTTGAGTTTAGCAAACTCAAATCGGGGGTGTCGCTCCACACGCACGTCCACTTCCTTGTGGTTCAACTGCAGGTTTTG